CCACAAACATTATGCTCAGCAATCTTAGTGCTTAAATTTTGGGGGGAATTTGATGGTCTTTGAGTAAAGCGTTTATCTGCCAGTCCTGTGACCTCTCCAGTTCCTGTCTCTTTATGCCAGCCCCATTCACAGAGCTGGGTTATCTCCTTGCTCTCTGGGCTTTACAATTTGAAAACTCTCAGGTGGACTAAAGACATATAGTCAGGTTACAGAAGACTAAGGAGAGAATATGAGCTATTTAAAGTATCCAAAGACATGCACTCATGTGCCCATTGTCTACTGAGTGCCTACAATGTGCCAGATGCTGGGGGAACAATCATAAGATCATAAAACAGCTCAGTGTGGCCGCTGTTAACATTTTCTTGTAAAGGAGACACACAAAAACAATTGCACCTTGCGATGAGCACTTTGAAGGGAACTGCAAGGGCATAAGTAGAGAACAAGAAGGAACATCTTAGTTTGATGGTGTGGGCAGGTCAATTGCTGGCCCCTGGGAAAGTGGGGGAAGAGCTGCCATGTGAGGTGGAAGTGTGCTAATCCTGGTTTTCTGAGGCGTCCTGAGGGGCTATTTGAAGGACAGATTTTATTTCCTCATAAGGAAAAGCTTTCCAACTAGAGCATGAAGGGACCTTGCAAGATAATGAAGTTCAAGACAATGGAAATGATAGGGCCGACTGCAGACCCCAGTAGGTAGAGCATGAAGCAGGTGGGTGAGAGGGTTTTCTCATCTCCAAAGAGATCCCCTGCAATTCTGAGATCCACTGAGGTGATATGGTAACAACAGCGTCCAGGCAGAGAAATCCTATTATACAAGGTGTCTAATGGGGTTATCTACACATCTCATAGGCAAACAGAAAAAGGAGACATGCCTCATTCCCCAGAGAACAGAGAACTTGGACTGTACAAATGGGATCTTGACCTGGGAAAACCCTGGGGGACTAACGATGTTTCAGAAAATTGATCTGAAACAGTTAGTCAATGGCTCCTGTGATTATGTTCTTCCGAAAGAATGGGATTGGAAGTGATCTGCTACTCCAGCCCCGTTACCCTTAAAAACTACGGTATCTGTTGAGCCCCATCCAGATTGTGGAAAACCCAGGCAGCCATTCTGAGCCCTGTTTTGTTTGCCTGTTTGTTTGTTTTATGGGTGTTAAGGAGCTAGAATCAGACTTCTGCAGCCATCCAGTGAGGGAGGATGTGGTGGTCCCATTAATACAAAAATACCTCTGGGATTCAGACACTCAGCACAGGTGCCATGGGTCAGTTGCTTAGCAAAACAAACACTTCCCTTCCGACAACTTCAGCTCCTCCCTAGTCTACTACCTCCTCTCAGGCTCTCTCCTCTCCATTAGTAATAATTCCAGCAACTAATGATGAGAGTTGCCTACATGCCACGCTTCCCATATGTTATCTTCTTTAATGTACAAAGCAATCCTTTCTCCATTTTACTGATGAAATCGAGGCTCAGAGAGGTCAGGCTGGCAGCTCAGGTCACACAGCAGCTTAGGCACAAAATGGCTTTGAATTTAGGATTGCCTGGCTCAAGTCCAGCTTTTCCCATCAAACTGTCTCTCATTATCTTTGAGAGTAATCACTGAAATTAGTAGGTTCGAATTTCTTAACATAAAAGTGTTAAATTCCTCTGGGGCTGGCCCTGACAATAAACCTAGATTGCTAGAAAGGGAATCTCTCAGGTTACATACAAATTTCTCTCTAGAAGAATCCTGCTTTATGTGTATCTGTCTTTGTTTTTTTAAGTAAAACTTTGATAGCTGGCTTAGCTTAATTTTATATTACTCCTTTGCACTTTTCCTTTGCATTATACAG